TTAAGGCTACACATTACCCTAAAAATTTCATTTTTACCGAAAAATTTTTTTTTGCATATTTTGGTGGCCCATATCATTGAGATGCTTGCCACGAAATTTCAGATCTGTTAGAAAATTAGTTTTTAAGATATTTGAAGTTTTATGAGCTATGGTTTTGGTTTCGGTTTCCTTTTAAAGCATTTTTTCACACTTAAGTTGAATTAATTAAAAACATTTTTGAGCTTTTAGTTTGAAATGGTTGTTAATTCCAATTTTCATTACTAAAATCATTTCTGCTTGATTATGTTTTGAGTTTTTTGAGTTCTGATAATTAATTAAGAAAGATTAATTTCATGGCCAATTTTTGCTTTAAAATGGTTTATATAACTTAAAAGCTTTATCATTAATTTTTCCTGTAGAGAAAATGCCATGGCAAATGCGTTCTGGGTTTCTGTGAGAAACAATATTTCGAAGAGATGGAATACTACTGAAAATGATGTATCTAAAAATTAGTCCTCAGCTGATTCTGCAATTAGACTTCCGAATACAAGTATTCTGAATTCAAATGCTGCAGACATAACTGAATATTTCCTTGCTGTACTAAACTAGATTATACTAAACATATTGTAGTACTATATTTTAGTATTTTAAAGTCGTACGACAAGAGCTAAAACTTCATAAACTGCCCCAATTTAAAACTGAAAAAAATTAAATTTTATGAGCAAACCTGACTATTTTTAGCTTAAGTTAGTATCATTATTATTTTGTACATAAATGCTTCGTGTTTCAAAACTTTTGTGAAATATTAGGTTAAGATAAAGCTGAATAAAATGACGTCTTAACAAATGCCATCAATATTATGCAAAAATATATTTTGAATTAAAAATATAATTTTCAGTCCTATTTAATAAAAATAATGTTTTAATGTAGAACATACATTGGAAAATATCATATTAAAAAATTAGAGTTTTAAGGGCATTAAAAACTTTTGTTTTATGACTTTAAAAACTTTAAATGCGTTTTTCTCAGACTTTTAATTTTGAAGGTATAAGTATTTTCTAATCCATAAGGCATTTTTCCTGTTCAAGATAGAGCCTTGAATTGTTTTGTATATACTCCCAAATGTATGTTCTATAAAAGTTAGTATGGATTTAGGGCTGTGAGAACTCTACTTATTTTTCTAAAAAATGCTAAAGTTGATATTTTTAAAAAATTCATGTTTTTTCCTGGTTTTTCTAGAAAAATAATTATTAAAAAGCAACAAGGGAATAGATTTTCAAATCCATACTAAATATTGTTTGTAATAATCTAAGAATCATAAATAACTTAAAATTACTAAAAAATTTTAAAAATTGAGTATTTTATAAGAGTTTGAAAAAACTTCAAACATTCCTAATTTTTTAAAATTGTAAAATAATGGCTGGTCAAACTGACTTTTTGCTTACAGAATCAGCTTAATAATATAATCTAAATATAAAACATCAATTATTTTTACTGTAACTGTCTCCACAATTTTTTTTTGAAAAAGGGTACCGTGTAGTCTTAAAGTCGTAGATATTCATAGTTTCCCTATAATTCATGCATCTCATTATTATTCCAATTGTATTGTTCATATTGAGATATTCTCTTCTTGAATTTTAGTTGATACGTGTTGATAACTTGGTTGATCAATGAATAAGTTGATTTTGAACATGTCTGGTATTCCTTCTATCCTTCCCACACATCTAGGTAGGCAAGGGAGAGGGTGTAATCCCTCACACAAGTTGATGCAGTTCTGCATCACCGGCTAATTCGGACCAATTAGAAAAGCTTTTACCGGAAATCATATGATTTTATTAGCTTCCGATTGACCATGACGAGAAAAATAATAGTTTAAAAAATCTAAAAAGCATGATTTTATAGTTAATCGAACTGAAAAGTAAACAAATAATTTTCAAAATAAGAAAAAAAAGTTATTAATGTCATTGTGGTAAAAGTGTGAAATGTGCTTTGTACTACATTTTTATACTAACTCTGCATTTCGGAATAGAACTCGTAAGACATTATAACAATAGATATCGAGCAGCCCACACTTTTTCCACAATGACAATAATTTTCTTGTTAATCGTTTTATTCTTATATAGAGAATTGTATTTTTTTTTTACTTTTCAGTTCGATTAACTATAAAAACATGCGTTTTAGTTATTTTTAAATTGTAATTTATTTTTCATTTTGTAGTTAGTTCTACAATAAAAGCGTGTTTTTTTTGTTTTTTAAGTGGACTTCGTACTCTAAAAATCACAAACCTATCGTTTTTTTTTATTTTCATTTAATCTTATTCTTTGCATTATTATCTTTCGATTGATATATCACTTGTGCATGTCGGAAAGTTAGCAGTTGAATAAAACTTCATTTGAAAACAAATTAGGCAATTCAGCCACACACCGTTTTTAGAAAAAAAAACTAAAAAATGCGTTATGATAAAAAAAATCTATTTTATAAATAGAAATAATAACTATAAAAAAGAATGTGTAGTATTAAAAGCAGAAAATTTCCGAGGCAATACGATAATGTAATTTTTCTTCCTTGTGAAATGTGTGCATGTAAAATTTTTAAATTAAGGCATTTTATATTAATAATTTTATAATTTCAGTTCTTATTCCTGATATATTTTCATACAAATGTAATACTTTAATATTATAAGAAGAAAAACAGCTAAAATTTCTGTCATGGCAGAAAAAAAAATTTAACGTTTTTCATGAATTTTCTTGTGCAATTAGTACTCTCTAAAAGTTGATCATTTATAAAAATGTGTGGGTTGAAAAAATATGAAAATGCAATTATTTTAAAGAAAAACGTATAACTAATATCTTAATGTTGTATTTTAAGTTTAATTAAGCTTATAATAATTATTTTTTTCAGAATGTTAAACTTTAAACTGGTTTTTCTCAGTTTGTGTTTTTCGAAACCTTAGTGCATTCAAAATGCTACTCCTTCGACAATTATTTACCAACCACTTCAATTTTTTTCCTGCGTGTTAAAAATAAAGCATGTAATAAAATTAAGGATCCGTTTTGCTATAAACTGAATACTTTAAAAAAAATAAAATGTAAGACATGTTGGCTTTTTCGTTGATTTTTAGCCTGTATATCAACATTTTATTTTTTTTCTCAAAAACGAATGAAGTTATTCTAAAATCGATCCCTAAAGTTGTTTAGAACATCCATAAGAATATTATAAAAAAATTTCAGGTCAAAAAATTAATTTTTACAAAAGGAGTAGGATTTTAAAATTTTCCCAATTTCCTTCAAAAAATTTAAATTTTTAAAATTGTGTAAATAATAATATATGAAAATGTTCCTCTGGTAACATTTTCTTGAATAGAAAAATTGTATAAAATGCTAAAATATAATTTTTAAATACGTATATAAAGAAGTTTGCTCAAAGGGTACCAAGTCCCCTTAAATTATCATTTATTAATTGATACATTTATCTTAAATGCGTCATTTTGTTAGAATCTAGAATACTCATTACAGTTTTTGCTTTAGTGTTGTAAATTAATCTTTTAGTCGCCGAATCCGGAATTAGTCACCAAATATGGAAATGGGATCTCGAATTTGTCGCTAAATATGGAAATGGAAAATCGTTAATCCTGATGATCCTGATCAGGGCAATGGATCAAAATTATCAAATTATTGTATTGTCATGGGTTCTTGATAAGTGTGCAAAACTTCGAAATAATCTGACCATTTAAAGCGGGTAAAATTCTAGTTCAAAGATTCCGTTAAATACAGGTGAAGCTTATAATGGCGTATTAAAAAGACGAGACCTTGTAAGTGAACAAGGAATGTCTTTGAGAATGTCCTAAATGCAATATGGGGTTGTCCGCGTGTTTAGTTGTTGTTAGTTGTGTATAAAATAAAATGTGGATTTGAAAATACCAAGCCCTCTCATCTTTTCCACACCTGAATTAAATACCAAAATGCCATAAATCACGTCCTTAATTTATCACACATATATTCAGTATAATTATTGAAACTTTGATATCCTGCTGTACATTGTTAATTATACAAAAAGGAAATGTAACAACCAAATTTCGCTTGGAAAACTAAATTGCACTTACTACTTTTGACAGCGATAGTCTTTTCATCCGCTCATAATACTCAGTCACAAATCTTCTTTTTCAATATCCGTAACATAAAAGCCTCTCTCTTTTCTGATAATACTCATGACAACTTAATATTCCCTTCTCTTTGTGAATTAAGTAATTATCCAAAAGGTGTACTTTCAAAGACTCATTTTAATTGGAATGACTAGGTAAGAACTGGGGATTTTAGATGGAATTCTTTTAATTGATGGAAGAAAAAGAAGAGAAGTTTCTGAATATAAGTAACATGAATTAATTGTATTTTTCTCTCGTATCGGATCCTTCGATGTTATTTTGAATGTATAGTGAATTTTTAAATAAGCAACTACTACAGGCAAATTGACTTAGGTATTAAGAATGACTTTTTATATAAATCTTTACATTTAATGAGAGTTTTGAAGTAATGAGAATGCATAAATGAGTATTTTGTTTGATTCTACCATCAACTAAATTTTTAGTCATATTCTTTTTTTTAAAAAAAAGATAGTGAAAAGATTTCTTGTAAAAAATTAAGTGAAGGAATTTAACTCATTCAACTGAATAATATAATATGCAATGCTTTGGAGATTTCACCTAATTATAGTATTAATTAAAAATTTAATTAATTTTTTACTGTAAAATTATACTTGTCTGATGTTTTTCAACATATTTTTCAATTCTTAAAATTAGTTCACTCTCTCCTTATACATATATCTTGTTCAAATCTTCAATCGTTAATAAAATACTTCCTGTTCATCCATTCATGTTCAAATACATTTGTTAAGATTGTTGTGGACGACACTTGATGTTAATACAGTTTTTGAAACAAGAATTCATTAATTAAATTAAAAATTGAATAAGTAGTAACAAAAATAATAGTCCAACAGCATATATAGAAAGGAAAGTTGTTCGTTGTGTCCCTGCAGCGCAATGGATAGCGCATTGGACTTCTAATCTAACGGTTGTGGGATCGAAACCCCCCTGGGATGTCCTAACTTTTGAGAATGCGTCTTATTTTTTACCATGTTATTTTATTAGAATAATTAAATTAAATTAATACAGTGCTTCTAAAAGTTGCAATATTCGCGACCCAGTATTTAATCATAATTTTCATCGCACCCCCTCATACAATAACAATGTATGGAAATCAATAATACTACACTTCGATGCTAGAACTACGAAACTACTTTAACCTCTTAATTGCCACCAGTGTATATAAACGTCTCACTCAGTCAAAATGATAATTTCCCGGACGTATACATACGTCATTCCGAAGTATGATCTTGCCTGTGCAGAGCTATCCCTAAAATTATTCCGAAGGCTTTGGAATGCAAGAAAAGAACCTGGGCAATGTTTGCGAAGGATTTATTTATTTCAGATTATTTGCTCTTTTATTCCTTCCCGCTCCAATACATCCCATACGCGCGCCTACAAGAAAAAGGCTTGGCATTTGGAAGCGAATATCAAAACTTTTAATCAACAGTTAAGGGGTTAAGTATAAGCCATGCAAATTATCAAGATAAGTGTTTATTTTTGTATATAATTTTATATATGACAATCTCATTGGGTCACTAGTAAGTATTAAACTTGTTCTTATCTTAATATTGTTAAATTAATTATCAAATGCATTGTATAGCGCTGGTACATTTATACATGCAACATATCAGTGTAAATGTGCATTTTATTTTTTATTATGTCACAATGTATTTTGTTTGTATTCTTGTAGTGAATGAACAATTTTTTGACTTCTTTTGTTTTCGACTTTTCAATATGCTAGCACCCCCCACCCTCGTAGAGTTGTCATGCCCCCAAGGGAGGCGCGCCTCACAGTTTGAGAAACGCTGAATTAATGAATAAATAGTAACAAAAAATAGTGGTCCACACAATACTATATATAGAAGTGAAAATGGAAAGTTGCAAGAAAAAGCGCTTTCTATTTTGCATTTAATATTGCGATTCTGTCATGTGTATATACATATATATTTTAATTGCAACTATTTAATAAAAAGTAACTGAAATCATTTTTTTTTGTTGATTGAAGTAGAACTTAGATTTTTTTAACATTATTTGTTAAGTTATGATTTGATGCATTTCTATATAATAGGATATAAATATTTATAAAAAGAATTTCTTCATAAATGTATTTTTGAATTGAACTTCTTATTATCCTTAAACGTGTAATCATCCTAGTAACAATAAAAAAAGTTAAATTATTTCAAGTATATGTATGTGGAGAACAGATAGATGTGATAGACAGGAAAACAAACACAAAAAGGGATAAACTGATAGAAGCACAAATAAAACGAGATTAATAGAAGGATGGATAAATATATATCTATATACATATAGATATATATACATATAAATATAGGTATATATACATATAGATATATATACATATAAATATAGGTATATATACATATAGATATATATACAACAAATACATTAAGCAAGAAAATTTGATACATCTCGAAGAAAAATTATCATCGAGAATGTAGGCACCGTAATTTCGATTGAAGAAATTCACTTATGCTTAAAATTTTGAAGTTAACAGTAATTAAAAAAAAACAAGTAATATAAAAAAAATTTAAAAATCAATTCCTATTTTGATCAACAATTTTTTTTTGATTTTAGCTACTTTTTATTAAATAGTACCAATTAATATAAATATGTATATACATATGACAGAATCACAACATTTAGTGGTAATTAATTTTTATTAATTATCATTAAAGTTTCGTACTGTCATCCAAAACAATAAAATTTACATAACATATAAATAAAGATATAAAATTTCAGTTCAACTGAATGCTTTAAAACGTGAGAAAGAAACATTATCAAGTTTTGACAGAAGTCACCAAAACGTTCGCTAGTTCGCCATGGTGGCTCTATTTGTAATTATTTAAATAATTAGCTATTGTATTATTGTATTGTCATCCAAAGTAATCATGTATATTAAATTGAAGCTCAATTGAGTGTTTATAAAAATGTATTTTATTCATGATTAAACATTCATTCCACCAAAATAAATAAACAAATAAATATATAGAGAGCGTGAGTTAATAGTAGGAATTGAATAACTGCAAAAAATATTCATAAATTATGTTTCTGTTTGAACGTCAAAACTGTATAAACATATTTAATAAAATATTAGAACAAATTTCCATTTAAAAAAATTCCAGAAATTATGATTTTAGTATAGTGCTTTTCTAATTGTATAATAAAGCAAACTCTACAAGAACTACCATTTTTTTAAATTTGAAAATACTTGAGTGCTTATAAAAAATGTTCTGTTAACCCCATAAAATAAAGATTTGCTTTTAATGAAGTAATACTGCTGACGGTTTGAGACAATATGTATACCCTTTTTGTTTACTGGTTTTCCTTTTTTTTCCTATGTAAACACGAAAGGAATTGACGAATTACTTTTAACCAACATAAATTACTGTTTTATTAAATATTTTTACTTTATGTTTCTTAATTTTGTCGAACTTTTTTCTCATAAGAAAAAGATTCCAGAAATAAAATTATTTTCAAACCATAACTTCTCTTTTACAGTGTTATAACCTTTATATAATCATATAATACTCATATGAATACATACATAATACCAAATAAACACATACATACATAATACTAGATAAATAAAGGGTGTTTTTATAGAGGTATAGAATTTTAAATTGCAATAAAACACATGAATTTTTTTATACGAAAGATAATCCTGTGGCATTACATTTTAAATATGATTTCTGGCATATGACTGCCAAGGCTGGCTCGGATGTAGTCCAATCTGGACGTCCAATTTTCGATGACTTTTTCCAACATTTGTGGTCGTATATCGGCAATAACACGGCGAATGTTGTCTTCCAAATGGTCAAGCGTTTGTGGCTTATCCGCATAGACCAATGACTTTACATAGCCCCACCAAAAATAGTCTAGCGGTGTTAAATCACAAGATCTTGGAGGCCAATTCACAGGTCCAAAACGTGAAATTAGGCGGTCACCAAACGTGTCTTTCAATAAATCGATTGTGGCACGAGCTGTGTGACATGCTGCGCCGTCTTGTTGGAACCACAGCTCCTGGACATCATGATTGTTCAATTCAGGAATGAAAAAGCTACTAATCAATGCTCTATACCGATCACCATTGACTGTAACTTTGTGGCCTTCATCGTTTTTGAAGAAGTACGGACCAGTGATTCCACCAGCCCATAAAGCGCACCAAACAGTCAGTGTTTCTGGATGTAACGTTGTTTCGACATACACTTATGGATTAGCTTCACTCCAAATGCGGCAGTTTTGTTTGTTGACGTAGCCATTCAACCAGAAGTGCGCTTCATCGCTAAACAAAATTCGCTTATGAAAATCGGGAACAACGGCAATCTCGTTTTGGGCCCATTCGACGAATCTACGCCTTGCTTGATGATCGTTTGGCTTCAATTCTTACACGAGTTGGATTTTGTAAGCACGCAAACCAAGGTCCTTCCGCAAAATCTTCCATAAAGTGGATGGACACAGATCCAATTCTTGTGCTCGATGGCGGATGGACTCATTCGGGTCTTTCTCAATGCTACGCTCTACAGTAGCAATAACTTCTTCTGTACGCACCGTACGGCGTCTCTGGGGATGCGAGTTATTAATTAGAGTAAACGTGGTGCGAAAACGTTCCATGGTTAATCGAATTAACTGCTCTGATGGACGATTTTGTCGACGATAAAATGGACGTAGTGCGCGATACGTATTCCGCACAGAACCATTATTTTCGAAATAAAATTGCACAATTTGAAAGCGTTGTTCAGGCGTGAGTCTATTCATGATGAATTGCCAAACCAAACTGAGAATAAATCACTTGACAGCTGTTAAATCGGTCGCCATCTTGGAAAGTACTGCCAACTTAAACTTCTATACCTAGAAAAAAACACTCTTTACATACATCCATAATACATGATATGAGTATTGCATACAAAATATTCATAACATGTCTGTTTGTCAGTAGCAATTCGTTTTACATTGTTTATATACTGATTATAAATTTGTGATAACTGTTTAAAAATGTCAAGGAAATATAATTTTGATGGAAAATTTAGTAGTGTATATTGAAACAATGTTACTGTAAACATGATGTTAAATTTAAAGCAATGTTTAATTTATTACTCATGTAAAATACTAAGAAACATCAACATGGTTTGTGATTCTTTTTAAAACAAGAAGAGAAATTATTACCCGAAGAAAACTTTTTCAAATCCTTGTGATTACATTATCCAACACTTTGGGATTTGCTTTGGACAGCAGCCATGTCGTATGATTATATGGCAAGTAAAAGATCCCTAGAGTATCTGTATGGCTTGGAAGCTCTCGGCAAAATTAAAATCATAATACATAATCGCATCGTCAGAGCTCAGGTGCCTCCCTCTATGGAGAAACCTGGGTGTCAAAATTATCTGTGGTGATTGGTATCTGCCTTATTTGGTGCCGCATTAAAAAGAGATACCAGATTCCGGGGAATGTACTAGGTCTGTAATGGTTAATCACTAATCCGCAGGCCATTAGAAATTTTAAAAAACAGTATCCTTTACAAATGCTACATTCATTTAATTTTAAGAGTTTCTAAGTGTATCAGCTTAACTGTGTCTATGTACAATTGTGTATTTCACTAATCGAATAATATTTTAATTTTCGCAATAGATGTACTTACTTTATCAATAATTTTAGAATATAATCTTATATTACTAATAAGGATAAATATTTCATAATAATTGTTAAGTAAAAAATGGAAACATCAAAAGAACAGTAAGTAAATTTGTTTTAATCGAAAAATTAATCATGTTAATTGCAATTTTCATAAATCTTTGACTTCTTTATTTATACTACCTCCAGTTAATGCAGAGTATTTCTTGTGTTAGAATTCATTTAACAAAATTTAAATCTAATATTATTCTATAATAAATATAGAAAAAAAGAAAATGTAATAAAATTAATTAGTTATTTT